AACCACATCTGGTCCTCCCTTACTCTGCAGCAGTGACTCAACCTTTGCAGAAAGGTAGAGCATGAAGAGGCCCAAGAGGTACTGTGTGGGCACCAGCCATGACTTTCTGCAGAAACATGAGGAAGACATAATTAGGAGAAGGATGCGCAGTCTAGAGATATGAAGTGTAATAACATGGATACAGATTAAAACATCAGGGTAATCAGCATCCAGATGTATTTCTTACCTCCTACCAAACCTACTGAAGTACAGAGCGTCCACCAGGGGTGCCCACAAAAGCTTGAGACTAAATGGCCAGAAGACAAAGCTGAAGAAGGCTTGGTCTTTGTAGCTGACATTCTTACTCTGCAAAATCAGAGGGATGCTTCCACCCAGTCCAAGAGGAATCCCCTGCAGCACATAGAGAAATAGAAGCAGCGACACATTCCCCAGCTCGCTGCGTATCCCAGACCTGCGAGGCGACCCTCGCAGCAGAAGAGAACCCTGCTCTCTTTCGTCTTCTATCCCCGGCTCAGAGAAGTCACTCTCCATGTCGTTTATGTTTTCAGGTGGGAGGGTGCCACCCACCTGCTTCCTCTGCCTCCCGTTCTTGTGTCTGATTAAATTTGAGGACTCCATAATGGATTAGTGGGCCTCAACCCTCCAGTCCTATCAGCAAATCTTCAAAAGGAGATGAGTGAAAACAACTGATACAACTAAACCGATTTTTAGTTGAAGCTGCTATAAATGCCTTCAATCATTTAGTTTGTACAGTGACAGCATTATGGGAAGCAGAATCATGCTGATCAAAGCAGATAGGTTTATATTATTTTAATATGCAATGGAGAAGCAGTGAAAAGGTGCAGTGAGCAACAAACAATGAAATGGGGAATTCATTGGACTGAACAATTCTGATGAAGACGAGAAAGTGAGTTTGTGAATAACGTTCAAATTACGCTGCATGCACATGGCAACACATCAGAAAAAAGATGACCACATACCAGTGCGCCTGTGCAAATACTTTGCATTAATCATAAACTGTGGCAGTCACTCATTGTTGGGGTTGAAGGTAGAACTGACGACTGCATGGAATCACAAAAAATCAAAATCAAACTAAGTTAAACCCTGATCTATGATACATAAGAGTACAGTAAAGAGAAATAAGTCCAATGGAGATGCTAAGGTTCAATATATTCAGAGTACAATAACACGCAGGGTCCCGCTCTCATCTGAAAACTACCAAGTGTTACAGAAAAGTAGAAATAAAACACATCAAATCAATATAAGACGTTTTCAAATACATACAAAGCACATGTAAGTTGAAAAGGTGAAACACATGAATTTAGACATACCTGGTGATGGCAGCATGCCAGATCATAAAACACAGGCGGTTGAATCACAGAATTAATCAACGGAAAAATCAGCTCATTCAGTTTTTTCATTCAGAGGTAAGAGACATCTTCATAAAGACGAGAAAACACAAGGAAATGAAAAGCGTTTCACTTATAACTCTCACATCGGTGGACATCAACACAGCCGAGCAAGGAAATGCGACAAGTACAGCTTACAAATGTGTCCGGCGCCTACAGCTGACGTGTCAAAATATGACTGCATGTAGTTCCGCTTCAGTGTACGTAACGTCTAAATATTGGTGAAAAAAAATACACTCAAGCGGAACTACAGTTGGTATCATTCACATAAAGCATATTACATAAAATGTAAAATTAACTTTAAATAAAAATCAGACCTACAAAAAATAATGAACTGTTAAGTTCTAGTTTAGTGCTGTAAATAAATGCAGTGAGTACAAATGTCAAATTAAATCGCATAATTCATATAATTATAATAATCATATCATTTCTGTCAATTTTCTGTCATTCAGCCACAGTGTTGGAGATAAAATGTTAAATGTTAAGAACAGGAAGTTAGTTCGTGCGTGAAGTGATAAAGTTTGCAGTTAATAAAATTAACAGTTAACATCAAATCAAATCAAATCAAATTCAAATTTTATTTGTCACACACACACAACCATACACAGTATGACATGGGGGTGAAATGCTTGTAGCTGTACAATGCCCGACCATTAAATGACAGAAGAAAAGTTTTACAATATTTACAATTTACAGTTTACTAGAAAATTTACAAATTAACTTAGGAATTTACAGTAAAGAATGTGCAAATAGCAGAAGAGATTATAAAGATAAGGATTATAAATTATAGGAATTATAGGATTATAGGAAATGTGTGGTGGTGCGTGTGGTGACGTGTGTGAGAGTCCAGTCTTATAGTGACGTGTTTGGGAGAGTCCAGTCCTACACCTGGTTCAGGCCCTGAATAGCCTGGGGGAAGAAGCTCCTCCTCATTCTCTCTGTTTTGGCCTTAAGGGAGCGGAAGCGCTTCCCAGACCTCAACAGTGAGAAGAGTCCATTGTTGGGATGGGAGAGGTCCATCATAATCTTCCTAGCTTTGGACTTGCACCGCTTGGTGTAGATGGACAGCAGGTCAGGGAGCTCTGATTGAATGATGCGTTCTGCCGAGCGCACCACTCTTTGCAGATCTCGTCTGTCCTGCTTGGTGCTGTTCCCAAACCAGGTGCAGATGTTTGCCGTCAGGACGCTCTCGATGGTGCAGGAGTAGAAGTTCTTGAGCACCTTCATATTTTGTTATATAAGTCCATTTACTAGTTTTCCAGCAGTATTTTTAACATATAACAGCCACAAAAGACTCAATATGTCATTTACATTAAAACTACAAAACTGTATTACAAACAATTTTCTGTATTTTTAATCTTTGTTGTTATTTTATTTTATTTGTCGCCCCAGCTTTTAACACTTTTTACAGGGTTTTTTTGTGTGTGTGTGTGTGTGTTTGTTTTCTTTGTATTTGTTTTGTTTTTAGTCACAGGTTACACACAACCCTGTTTTTTCTCTTTTGTGTGTGTGTGTGTGTGTGTGTGTGTGTGTGTGTGTGTGTGTGTGTGTGTGTGTGTGTGTGTGTGTGTGTGTATTAGTGTTAGTAGTAAACTACCGAGACTATAGACAATAAATACTTTTTGGATGAAGCATATCTCATTTTAAACCCATCTTATTTTAATTTAATATTTCATCTCTACCTGAATCTCTTTTGGCTGTAAGAGTGAAAATTTGGTTTAAAAGAATCACCAACAAACCAAGAACAAAATTTGAACATGGGTGGGTGCTTTGTGCAATAAACTTAATTGAATCACAGTTTTTCCACAGTGTTGTGATTCTAATCATACACAGTGGTTTGGATGACTTTTCCACATGCAGCATTAGGATAGTGTTGCTGCAGTTCAACCTCTTTCAGTGTGCAGTAATTAGTAGTTTGCCTAACAATGAATGTAATGATCCATAATGCATATTAATTAAGCTGCTGTATTATTGTATGCTGCATGGCAGCCCTGGATTATGTTAACCAATTACGAAATTTTATTCATGCATCATTATTGAAAGCCAACAATCACGCTTCTTTTCATTCATCTTTTAGACTGTAGGGTGAGTTGAGCTACTCCTGAACTTTGAGAATCCAGATGAAAGCACATGATAGCGATACTGTAAAATCAAAATGAAGAAGATACGGATCGAAAACTCTTCAACCACCCCACGGGTTTTATACAGGGCTCATACTGATGTTTTCTCCTCAATCAAAAGGTCTTTTGGCGAGGGTCATGACAAACGCATTACCCCACATTTAATTTAGAGAAAATGAATGACAGCATGCTTGGCCTTGTGGTTGCCATGAGTGCATGTGAAGCCGCTTATCCTCACAGATGGCATGTGACAACACACACGGGCATATTTGAGAATATCAGCATGTGATGGAGACTGTGAAGCTGCAGTTGCACTCATGTGAGAATGTCTGTGTCGGTGTAAATCTACACTGAACTGCTCTGGGGCTCCACACTGCCAGCAGCTATGATATGTCTGAATTACTCTATTGTAACCCCATAAAGTTTGACTATCAATGTGCACAAATTATGTCATGTAGAGGGCTCTTGTATCAAACTATATATGAATCACCAAAAACCTGCAGACAGGGATCTTGAGCCTACTTTTACACTATATGCTGGGGTGAATTATTCAAACCATACCAATGATTAGGATTATTTGAGCAGATTACTTTATGTCACATGAGGACTGCTACAGTGGTTACCTTATTGGTTGGTTTACATCATCTGACTGGCCTTAAAGGACACATTACAACACATTACAACAAATCTATGATTGGTATTTTCCCCTGGTCACGTTATGTTGTTCATCACATTTTCCACTGGATGGTGCTAAAATCAGCACATCTGAATATACTGTAGTAATTCTCAGATTCACGCAACTTAAAATAGTCCAACTCCCCTTCTCAGGGATATTTAATGGCTATTTCGTTTTTCACTTAACAGGTGACTGACCTTGTGATCTCCAAGAGCTGGATTTTTCTTTTTTCATCAAGCCTCCAGAAATAATACTTTAAAGTGTGGCAACCTTGAAGCATTCATTGCTTCTTCTTGTTGCCAAATGACTGAGAATCCAAACTGGGGACGGAGAGATGGCTACATAGCATCGATTTCTGCAAGCAAGTTGGGCCTGGGTGGGTGCTGGTCTTTGAAGTATGCAATAATCTATAAGTATAGAAACTGTGGCCACTGCAACCTTATTATTCGCGATATGAATGGAAACTGAATGAGTGAATGTAACTCTTAGTTTCTTCTTTAAGCTGCCTGAAAAATACATGGAAACAGTTTAATGTCACCCACACCTGGAACATCTAGAACAGTAGATGTGTTAAAGTACAGCGACTTCCTCTCACATATTTGATGCTCCTGCCTCACAGAGACTGAGGTGTTATCACTGGAGCTACCTTATATTTCAGCATATACCATATAACTATTCCTGAAATTCACACTTTTGTCTGTTTTGACTGATAGACTCATTTTAAGTCCCCAAACAAACATATAGTAATGATAGGCTGAGGAACGAAATTTAGCTAGATGCCCAGCCCCCACGGGGGCCCTTCTCCCTTACTCTGGTTATTTAACTTTTCGCTCCACCCATGACATATTCGCGCTACATATTTACTTAGCCTGTTCCCACTATGAAAGTTATTTCCCGGCCAGAGGAGAGACTGTGACATCTTCAAACCAACAGCCCAATCTGCTTTTCCAACAGTAGTCGGCGTGCTGAGCCAGGAGCTAACCAGCAGCCCTCTCTCTGTGAGACCTGGGACAGCGAGGCGAAGGGGAGAGCTCATTCCACAACACGGCAGTCATCCATGGCTCTGTGCAACGGAGACAGCAAGGTCAGTTGAGCGGGAGATACCCGGGGCTCCAGTATAAGGTAGCCCTGGTGACTTAGTGCTAGGACCCGGGTTAGTGCTGTAGTCCTCCCCCCGGTTAATTTCGGCCTCTGTGTACCTCGGGGGGGGAAAGTTAAGAGAGCATGCAACGTTATCAACAGTGCTGCTGAGGAGGAGCAGTGTGTGCCTGTTGCAGTGTTACATTAACATGTTGCTCATAGCTGCTAACAAGCCGGACGTGATAACTAATTGATGTTAAACCGTGAAAAAAAGGTTTCACTAATTTTCCCAGTAAACGGGGTTGCCCTTCTCTTATGGTGGACCCCCCCAACCCCCAAGATACTTCAGCTCCAAGCACCGCGTGGGTTTTAGCATAGCTCCGCTAACCTAGCAGCTACTCACAGCACTGCTAACAGGCTAACGCTCGTTACTACTGTTTATTCCAGCGGTGCGCTAGCTCGCTACACTGATAAACTGTTAGCTAGCCGTGGCCGGGCGCTCACAGTTCGTAGTGACAGCACCGCAGAGCAAGAATGTTGTTTTACGATAGCGTCCGTGTTCTTTAAGTAACCGGAAATTGTGCTTGTGCTGAACTAATTTACCTCAAGCGGTAGCTGTCACACTCTTCGTGCTAACGTTCGTTAACTGTCAGTTTGCTAACATCGTCACGAAGCTAGTGTGTGAGCCAACTTGTGGTTTACCTGTCTAACAATTGCAGCGGCTTACAGCTGCCTTATCAGCTGATATGGTGAAGTTTGCACTGGAACCATAGTGTTTTTTCTCTCGTGATTACTCTGCTTCAGCCCATGTTATTACCGGTTGTGCTTTAAAGGTTAAAATTGGAGGTGAGGGGGGTACCCAGCAAGTTGTTTTCAGAAACATTTACGGCGGAAGTTTCCCACTGACCACGTGGGATAATGTTTGTCTAATGTGTACCCACTTCGGCTGTTTATAAAGAAAAATTTACTGAATTTAATTCACTGTAGACTGGATGGCACACTTCCCACAGAGCATGCATGCGTTTAAATAAATAACATTTGCATATAGATGAGTGCTGAGGATGAGAGTTTGAACTGCTTCAAATACTGAGATCTCAGTCTTGATAATGTCTAACTTGTGAGATTCATGTGATGGGCTGAATGGTTGCAGCACATTTCACAAAATTTGCTGTCCATCTCTGTTTCAGCTCACATGGCAACAATTATGTTAGGCTTTATTGAGTCACAGCGCTGGAGGAGAGTAAACTCAAGAAGGAATTGAGTTACCTTCTGCTGTTAGACCACTAGAAAGCTAGTCACCTCACATGCAAATCTTCACTAATCTTTCTAAATGCGTGTCCATAGCTGGAGATCAACAGCGCAGAGCAGAATGGGTCATGTGAAGGGGCGGTGGCGATCCTCGATGCCGGGGCGCAGTACGGGAAGGTGATTGACCGAAGAGTCCGAGAGCTGTGCGTACGCTCTGAAATCCTCCCTTTAGAGACCCCGGCCTTTGCTATCAGAGAACAGGGCTTCAGGTGAGCACATAAACGCATCTCTACTTGAGATGTTTTATTTCATGCCTGTCATCATGTTTAATCACACTACTGTGTCAATGTAGAAGCTTTGAAGTGCTTTATAATGCAGTTTTACATGATTGTTTTCTTTGTGTTTCATGCCTCAGGGCAATAATTATTTCAGGAGGTCCAGCGTCTGTGTATGCGGAAGATGCCCCCTGGTTCGACCCTGCCATATTCACTATAGGAAAGCCCGTCCTTGGGATTTGCTATGGGATGCAGGTATGCACACAATAAAATAAACTGTGATTGTATTCTTAAGAAAACCAAGTCTACTTCCACAAGGCTCTTGTCAAGAAAACATTTTTTACACAGATTGCCTCTAAGTAGCAACACGTTACTGTCACTCTGCTTGAACCAGCTCCTCAGCTCTCCCACACCAGCTGGGACTTCACCACCTTCTTCAAGAGTACTTTTACACTGGTGGAAGAGAAGAGTAATACTTACTCTCTTTTCCCAGTGAGACAAAAAAGTAACAAGTACATTACTTTACATTGCAGGCAGTTTTACACTCCCTGTAGCATATCTGTTTCCATTACTTACCTCTGGTGTGTGTGTGTGTGTGTTGCAGATGATGAATAAAGTTTTTGGAGGAACGGTACACAAAAAGAGTGTAAGGGAGGATGGAGTCTTCAGCATTGGACTAGACAACACTTGCTCCCTTTTTAGGTATTGTAATTTCTTGTAACTTGGATATGTAGTGTTTTGTTATGTTCTACGTACAGACCACATACATAGTTGTTTTCATGCTGATGTAAAGGGGCTATTACGCAAATAATGAAGAGTCTAAGGTAGGGTGTAGTCTTTATTTCCCTTATATAAACAAAGTGCTGAAAACAGCATAGCAGATTTAATGAATCGTGTGTGTGTGTGTGTGTGTGTTAAACCTATCAGAGGCCTTCAGAAGGAAGAAGTAGTCTTGCTGACCCATGGAGACAGTGTGGATAAAGTGGCAGATGGCTTTAAAGTGGTGGCCCAATCAGGGAACATCATTGCTGGTGAGCAGGACACAAGAAATGCGTCAATCCTGTTGAATATAATTCACAAGTATATTATGGTAAACTACAAAAGCAGCTTTATTTGGACTTTATGTTAAGTAAGCCTGAGGCTGTATCATATATATTTACATCTCACATAGCCTTTGAAGATGATGCTAATTTGTGTTCTGGGTAAAAGTGCTTTTCCCCGACATCTAAACTCTTGGTTTTTTCTTAAAGCTTACTAAATGAGCCCCTTAAAACATCTCTGTTTTCTCTTTAGGGATCGCTAACGAGCAGAAAAAGCTGTATGGGACGCAGTTTCATCCTGAGGTCGACCTGACGGAGCGAGGCATGGAGATGTTGCGTAACTTCGTGTTTGAGATTGCGGGCTGCACGAGTAACTTCACCGTTCAGAGCCGCCAACAGTCCTGCATCAGTGAGATCAGAGAAAAAGTAGACAAGTCGAAAGTGCTGGTGAGTGATGATTTGGGGGGGGGGACCAAAACTACTGAATATTTACTGTGGGAGATGATTTAACTAAAAGGCTGAAGCTAAAAAGCTGACAGTGAAGTGTGGTAGGCGCTCAGGAGGCAATGACAGTAGCAATGGTGGGAAGTTAAGTAGAACCAATTAAACTCTCAAATTAAACCCTGTTGCATCTGAAAAGAAGGTAGCCCACTCCCAGAGTGGCTTCAAACTGGGTTTCATCTCAGGGGAGGGTGAAGGCGATAATTGAGTGTGGAAAATGGGCTTAAAGTACTGATATTATACTGTACAGTGTGTGGGATAGTTGGTAATATCTGTGACAATACTCTCATTCTGCTGTAGCGTGTTCCTGCAGCGAGTACAGCATTTTGGATCATTTCCAGGAGCAGGTTTAATCTTCTCTTTCTTAGGCTTAATATTTAACAGCCTGCCAACAGATGAAACACCAGATGTGTGTATGACTAATAAAACAAGAAGCCTAAATAAATATAAGCCACACGTTTGCAGATAATTAGTGGGTACTCTGAGTTGTGAAAATTGGGGCCAGGTGGTGAAGAATCAGATTTAATCTTTGCTCAGCTTTATCTCTGAGACACTGTTTCTTTCTGATGATACTCGCAGGTGCTGCTGAGTGGTGGAGTAGACTCAACAGTCTGCACAGCCCTCCTGAACAAAGCTCTGAACCAGGACCAGGTGATAGCAGTTCACATCGACAACGGCTTCATGAGGAAGAGAGAAAGTCAGAGCGTGGAGGAGGCCCTGACCAAGCTGGGAATCAAACTCAAAGGTAGGGATCCAAATTCTGCAGTTCTTAAGCGTGTACATGAGGTATTTATTTGAAATTCAATTTTATCACACGTTATTTTATTTTATTTTCTGAATTAATTGCACTCTTTTAATACGTTCAGGTTCTTATTTTGAATAGTTTTCACTTTATGGAGTTACCCTTTCCAAAATGTTGTGACTAAAGCGCATATTTGTTTATTAAAAAAAGGCCAGCAGTCTTCTGTACCTGCTGCTGGCTGAACGGCTCTGTTTTCACCAGCTGCACAGATGCACAGATATTCATTACAGTGCACAGCGGTTACAAAGTTAAAAGATGGTTAAACTTTGACCTTCTTTGCTCACTGGAGTGACAAACCTTGGCTGCACAGCATAAGCCACTGCAAATAATAATTTTCAGACAACCATGGTGCCATCGTTGTGACCTGTCAGAAAACCGCTTACATCAGTAAACACAGGTGCATTCTGGGAAAACATTATCTGCCAAAGCCAGATCCCTTTCTCCTTGTTGCTTTATTATTTTGGTCACCCTCCTCCACCACACCAGTTTTATCCTATTCAGCTTTGTAGTTGAGTAAGAAAACCACAAGCTTATACCTGAGAGTGAAAGTAAAGTTGGGACTGAGTTTTTGTTTTGCTGTTAACCCTGTGGTTCGTCTTCCTTCAGTGGTAAATGCAGCGCACACCTTCTATAATGGAACAACAACTCTTCCCATCTCTGAGGAGGACAGGACGCCGCGGAAACGCATCAGTAAAACACTGAATATGACCACCAACCCTGAGGAGAAAAGGAAAATTATTGGAGACACATTTGTCAAAGTGAGGATAAGTTTGAGTACTTTATTGGAAAGTGTTATTTATTGATGGTGACATTTAAGTTCTTTTCTCTGCCACCGTACTGTTCTGACTGTATGAATTGTCCTACATCACAGGTGGCAAATGAAGTGATTGGAGAGATGAATCTGAAACCAGAAGAGGTTTTTCTGGCACAGGGTACCTTGAGGCCTGATCTTATTGAGAGCGCCTCTCACCTCGCCAGTGGTAAAGCAGAGGTCATCAAAACACACCACAACGACACTGAGCTCATCCGCAAACTCAGAGATGAGGTAAATCTAATTTCCCTAACCTTCTTAGCTAGCTACTTCAGTTTATAGCCATATTATTTGCAATGACGTAGATCATAGGTGTCAAACTCTGGCCCGCAGCCTAATTACATTTGGCCCGTGAAGTCATACCAAATTATTATTAGAGCTGGCCTACTGGTATTATACAGCTAATATATATATTGTTTAGTATTAAGCTTTGCTTGTTCCATATTCAGTTTTCCAGCAAAAC